TTTTTTTTATTTTGATTCTGAACTCCCCTCTGTAACTTAAATGACCTTTATAATAATGCAGAGGCACATAAATTAAAGCCTTCCGGTTAGGCAGTTAAAAAGGGCATTGTGCCAGTCTCAAACAAAACCTTTCCTGCCACTAACTTCTACTGTGTAATATACTGTGTAATTTTTAATTCATTCCTTTATTTTATTTTTATTGGCTTAATGCAGTACTCGCAACGGACATTCGCAATGGTTATATTTTTCTGAAACAGGCCACAGATGGAGTTGCACAGAGAACAAAATGACGTTAAAAATCATAATCTCCTTTTCCGAAAAACTGGATCTGTCAGATCAGCTCACAAGCTTGTACAGTGTAAGGAGGGCTGCCTTTAAAGTCTGCAAGAGACTGACATTGGAGGAACGCCCACAAGTCCTGCAGGTTTGTGAGGACACACATCTGTGGTTTCACCTGTGGCGAGGATTAGACCCACATTTCTCCACAGACTCAAAGATTATTATTTTTTTTTTACCCTTTTATGCCCTAAGGAAAAACATACACTCTCGTTTACCTTTGTAACAAAACATTTTCTAGTTTTAAAAAGGACAGTTATTGTAGGAGGAAAGCATCTCGCGCCAGTTCCCTGCGGTTTCCACTTAAAAACGGCTTCAGCGCGGGAACTTATTCGTCGTACAGCGCATCGAAACTGTTTCCCTTGAACATGCTTTAATATTGCATGAGTGCATTTCAGCACGAGCATATACTCCACAGTCTTGCATATACCCCTCAGTAAGCAATTAGTAAAAAACAGCCACTTCACATAAGGCCTGACAATGATGGCCGTTCTTATTCTGCTTTAGGTCATCCTCTGTTTTGCCAGTTCAGAAATCCTAACCCTTGGTTTGAGTCAGAGGGAGCTGGCAAACGAGACAAGACTAGCAAGGCGTGATGAGGGACGATGGTAGACAGAGACATATTCTCTCAGATCTGTAGCTCATTAGCAAATCACCAGTCACAACCCGCACCCTAAGAGCGAATTCTGTATCACCTGCCACTGACTGGAGTATTCTGTGACACTCTTGTCGTGTGACAGCCCACAGTCATGTGGCTGCAGCTTCAGTGAGGTTCAGGGCCAGAGCTTTGCTAGCAAAGTGCTGCAGCAAGTCCCAGTCAGAAAGCAGACAGTCACAGAACAGTCTTAGAGAACACTCACAGACACCCGATCACATCGTGATCATGCCCTCGGAATCAGAAAACTCTCTGCACGGAGGAGGAGGAAAATAAGTGCTACTGCTGCTCAGTGAGCACAAGAGTTTCAACTCGGCAGTTCACGTTTTTCAGCTAGCAGCAGATTTGCGTCTAGCTAACAAACAGTATACTAGCAGATTCTAACTGTCTCGGTTCTTCCTGGTTGTAGGCTTTTCAGGATGCTAGACAATGGGAGCACAGTGTTGCATTTACAAGTTATCTTGCCTTATAAGCTGTGGAGGGGCAGACGGCTTTCTTGTGCAATTTATTGCATGAACACATCATCCTATGAACTGTGCATCTTGTTTCATAAGAGCTGTCACTGTGGATCTGTAAAGCCAGAACTGCACATTCAATCAGAAAGAGATCACATATGTTAAGTGCTGAAAAAGTCTCTTCACACAACATATTGACCTAAATAGCTTCTGCAGCTGTAGCTCTTGGGAGATATGAATCGGGCCTATAAGCACACCCCCCCCACACACACACACCATCCTAGTGAGTTACTGATTAACTCTTTTTCTAACCAGAACACTTATTTACTCACATCAAGTAAAGGCCAAAGAAGGAACAACAAGAGAAAACTACACTTAGCTTATACTGGGAGAAAACAAAAAATGCATCTTCAAAGATCTGCATGATTTCTTATCTAGTATTTATTTTGTTTTCACACACCATAGACTGCATAACCCCAGGGAAGGTGAGCCTGTGTGTGTTCCTGATTTTCTGGGCTGGGGGGTTTATATTGTTTGACTGATACCTGTGCAGCTCTCTTATTGTACAATGATGAAGAGCTGATGTCTATGCACTTGCACTGTAATCTGATCATTCAAATTTTAAGTGAAATTTTATCCAGGAACTGAAAACAAACAGTTGTTTTTCCTTATGTCAAGAGTGATAGCAGGTGAGGAAAGTCAAACACTAAATGAAACCACAGTAATATAAGCGAAACATAATAATACACAACATACTCAAATAGTTAGTGACTCTTACTGCTGCAAATGTCAAACAACTGTACTAAGTATGAGCTGGAGCAAATCAATGAATGTAAGTGAGGTGTGATATTAAATTAGAGACATAAAATGGGCTTTTGTCAGTACTATTCAAGCAAAATATACTTCACATTCTCAATGACTAAAAAACAAAAAAAGCACCAAGATTTATGATGTTCTATATAGCATTAAGGAATACAGTATCAAAGGAAATAATCTTGAAAAAGTTTTTTTCCAAGAAAAATAAACTCTAATGCTTAACAATCTAATTACTTAAACTACCTCTAAGGACTCTGAAACTGTACCGCTTTCGTATTAAAGGGAAAAAAAAACAGCTGTAAACTTAGCATGGAATTACCTAAGATTTGAAAACGGACAATATTTTCATATGGGGCCTCAGTCAGTTGAGAAAGGGGCATGATGAGTGAGTTCTGGAAGGCTGGCTTGTGTGAGACGTGACTCCATGAATAAATGCTTCACACAGAGAAGGTGCACAGTCCCATTTCACACCTTAACTACTTTCAGGTTTAACCCTATTCTGTCCAGCGCAGTGAGGCATGTGTAGTTACACAGCACCCGTTCTGATAAGTATCCACTCAAGATGACCAAAGATGAGACCTCCAGATCCTGGGAATGCACAAAGAAAAATAAATAAAAGGAACAAAATAAACAAACCTGAAGCATAGGTTTCTAGATGGGCCAGAAAGCACACAACTGATTTTTTCCCCAGACAGAGATGTGTGTCCACTGCAGGCAAACAAGCCTGCTTTCATTCAAAAGCACTTTCTTTTAACTTTAAAATGGTTATTTAGCTCAGGAGTCTTCAATTGTGGTCCCAGGGCTTTATAGTTCTGCTTAAAGCATCAACACCTGAAGAGCTGAAAGAATTGGACTGGTCCGGTTATCAATTAGACCAATTTGTCATTTCAGACAATAATGAGCTGGACTGAAATCCTGTATAGACCAGCCCTCCTGGACCAGGACTGGGGTTGCCTGATCCAGCACACAGAAGCACTTAGCAATCCCATTTTCCTCAGGTAGTGTCACTGTCAGCACACAACCTCCTCTAGGAACCTGTGCACATTAGAGTACAAGTGAACACCAGGTTTAGGTTTAGGCTTAATAAGCATTAGTATTTAGGTCACATCTGAAACTCATGATAGAAGTTAAAACACAACCAGGTATATGCCTATCATTTTATAAAGTCATTGTAGGTAAAGTTATTCCATGACAACATTAACTATTTGCTAGTTTGCAGACAAGATGAGCCTCTCTCATCTATATTCATAATCATTTGCAAGCACATAAACAGAACTTCACAGGCAACAACTTTTGTTTAACAAACTCTGACAAATTCAGCTTAGTTTTGGGTCAGTCCATCAAAAGAGAAGGTTTTGAGACAGCATACCCAGTCATCAACAAAATGGGGATCTAATTTATGTCGTTAAGTCTTGTGCAGTCTGCAGCTCCCATAACTTCAGTGTGATACAAAGATCGTTCCACCCAAGCTAGGCTCAGATTCTAGTGTAACTTGCTCCCAGAGCCAATGCAGAGGTAGGGAAGGGTTAAAATAAAATCAAGTAGCCAAGCAGTTAATCTTAGTGTTTCCCATCATGTAATTTGCAAAGTCCCTTTGCAGGCCCTGCAAATTTGTTCTGCAGGAGAGATGGGGCATCTCAGTTCAGCCCTGCAACACTAATCTACAGCCCCCCACCCCCCCTACCCCCTTAAACTCACTCCTTGATGACGAGAAACCACACTTGGTTTAGATGTGCTGCGTTCCCATGTAAGTCATTTCCACAGGGATCTACAGAACACCTCCCTTCCCACTCTCTCTCTCTTTCTCTCTCAGTCGAGATGCTGGAAACTTTCCAGGGATCTCTCCCACAGGCAGGGTATATCATACATGCACACACGGACATATATGAAACACACGCACGTCTCCCACAGGATCGTGCCGGTTCCGAGCGGCTGCCTTCACGAGGACGTTTCTTCTGCACGGCGTATAGCTCACCGTCCTAATCATGACATGGGAATTGCTAGT